ATAGGGGGCCCAAAATTATAATTAACAAACTGGGTAAAGGAGGAATAAAGGCATGCGGTGGAATGGGGTAAGGAACTGTAAGCCCTTTCTCCACCTGCAAATTCTCATTTATAGTAATCAAGTCAAGGAAGAAGTTTGACTTGCAAGCAATACTGAAGTTATCATTATTAAGTAGACCTAAACGATTGGTTATTAAACTGAAACTATGTTGTGTGAATTGAAGAGACTGGATTATCATTTATACTACTTAAGATTAAACAGAAATATCCTGAAGATTTTTCTTCCAGGGGCAGGGGAAAGCTTAAACCCACAAAGTAAATTTAAAGAGACTATGGGAGACAAGTTGTTTTCTGATGATACTCCATTGACTTTTGCATGTTCAACGTTACAGTAGACTCCTGTACAACTAGTTAATAATCACTAAGATTATGGCAGTTATTGGAATGGTCTACAACATATTTGATGTGTCTTTTTAACAATTTCTTTCCAACTCAAAACATTCAACTTATTTCTGACTCAGAACATCGCTTTTCTTTTGACATGTATTCTTCGCCTCTATTACCAAGTTTCCATCCTGTTTCTAAATTTATTCTGATATAAATCAAGAGTTTCTGTTCTGTCTACCAGGCTGAGAACACTTTTGAGAACACTTTGAACAATGTCACAGGAAAACTGTAATTTAAATAGCTTTTAGCTACAACATTATATATTTGCATTTCCCTGTCTTTTAAGGAAGAAGACAGTGATAGAACATCTAATGGGAAATTCATATTAGAATGGAGGCTGAGCTGGTTTAACATTTCTTTGGCTGTCCTTTCAAGCTAACGATAAAGGAGCAGCACTATTATGTAGTAATGCCTTTTCTCCCCATTGTTTTTCAAAAATGCACTCATTAAACCACAGTTTTCCTATAATCCTTTAATAAACAACTATACAGTTAGCAGCAATATAAAAGCACTTCCATATTTTATAGTAACTAAGAATCCCTGCCATCTATAATTACAGCCAATACTTGAACAAAAGGGGAGAGACTTAATTTTCTTAATGTTTTCATGCATGGAAAAACAATCAAGTTTTCCTTCTTATATGTAATTGCTTTGACTGACCCTAGCTGGGTTTCTTTTTCCAAATTATAAGCCAGCCAGATCATTGGAGTGTTAAACTCTTTAAACAGCCAGATATTAATTGATTGTCTATACTTCTGATGGCAGTGATAAGGATCTTTCTAAGTCACATTTGTCCTTTGCTATCATTCCCTCAAGGGCCAGACTGACTCTATTCATTGACCTTAAATCTTGATTAAGTTTTGACTGGAAACAAATAAAGGCTAAAACTGGAAAATGGAATAGTCCATCATTGATGGAATTTTGCCTTAAGAAGCAGTGAGGAAAAGAATAAGAAATGTTCTTTCATTAAAGATTGTGTAAAGCTAATGGGTCTTACTTTGTAAAGTTACTAATAGAATTCAGGGAAGGTGAACCCAGAGTGAACAAGAGGAAAGGATGGAAGAAAAAGGTCATGTCTCCAAAGACTTCATTTTCAGGCCTCTTAGTTAATCTTACTGAGTGCTGCATAGCTCCTCCAAACTAGACATCGATATATGTTTTTCTTGTGTATTATATTTGTATCATGTTGACTTTTCCATCTTGCTCTATAAAATATTGAAAGGAGCTGGTTCAAATTTCCCACTTATAATTCTAAGTTGATTTTTTTTTCCTCCGCATAAATCTGTCTTTTTCTGCTTTCTACATTTTGTGGCTATGTTATTGAGTGTACTCAAATTTTAAATAGTTCCACTTGCCTGGTGAATCTTTATCATAGGAATCCCTTTACTTATCTCTAGTAGTTTTCCTGCATTAAAGTATAGTGTGCCTGATATTAAGATGGCTGCACAGAGTTTCTTTTGAATATAGTTTATAAAGTCCTTCTTTTTCCCTCAGCTTATTTCTAGTATTTTTGTAGCACTATGTTCACATGTGCCTTTTGTAAAAGACTTTAATTGGATTTTAAATCTTTATATCTAGTCTGAAAATATTGGTGTTTTAATTAGAATATTTAGTATAGTTACATTTACTATAATTATAAAATATTTGGGTTTATATCTGCCACCTTATTTTGTGCTCTGTAGCCTCCCTTTTCTGTTCCTTTTTTTTTTTTTTGTCCTCTCTTGGTTTATTGCAGATTTTTTGAATATTTTTATTATTGCATTTTCCATTTGATGACTAAGTCATATTAACACAATTTTATGTTTAAGGAAACTGAGTCATGGGAAAGGGTACTTATAGAAAAGGTCATTCAAGATTTGAAAACTTGCTACATGCCTCCAAAAAGCATGTTTTTATCTGTTATGCAGCTGTTCAAGGAACCAAACTGAGATTATCATTAATTTCTCCTGTAGCTAACACAGTGTTATATCTGTAAGATTAGTATCTTTGAATTCCTACACATAAATTCTCTCTCTTTTTCTTTCTATGCTGTGATTTGAAACTTCAGGCTCACAAAAGAAGTAAAGCACAAAAACATTGCTCCAAGCATAGATTATACATATATTCAACACTGTGAGTTCCAGATGGTCTTTGCAGATCCACATTTCTAAGGAACATATTTGGAAAGCCACAGTGGTGAATTAAACTATCTTTCTAACTATCCCTCTACAATATCAAAGTAACACAAATATTTATTATCATAAATTTCCAATAAACTTATGTTTGGTTCTGTGAATAAAACCAAACAGATTAGTATCGAAGAATGGTTTGCATGTTGCCATATATCTCTGAATTAAGATATTTTTACAGGCAATTTTAATGATTCTTTTGATCCTAGTTTTATTAAGCACTCTCAATTGAATTTCTTAGTTTAAATGTATGTGTGTGTATATATATGTGTGTGTGTGTGTATATATATAAAAAACTATAAAAGGAGGATTAGAAGGTAGCAAAGCAATATCAAAGAAGATAGTCATTCAGACTCCCATTTGGTTGCCATAAAAAAGCAACAATAAGAAAAGTTTTAATTTTATGAAATGCACAGATTACCTAATTATACTGCAATCTAAGAATAATTTCAATTGCTTTTCAATATTTATAATTCACATTTCATTAGGCTTTTCATTTTTTGTAAGGCTAATTTCCCTTTACTTTTAAGTCATTGTTTATTATTTGCTTTAGAGAGTTTAGTTTTCCACACAGATTGTAAATAAAAGAAAGAGGAAACTCTCCAAAATCAATGAGTGAAATGTGCTTGCTATAATTTGGGTATAAAATCAAGTATAGTTTAGACAATTAATCTAAAAAATGTGTGTGTGTGTGTGTGTGTGTATGTGTGTGTGTGTCTGCTATTTTTGTCTTCTCTTATAGAAAAACTTTAAAAAGAAGCAGACTCAATCTTAGTATGGTTTTGATTTTTCTTTTTACTTTCTTGTATTTTTTTAAACTAGTAAAACTCAGTGGACTTAACATTAACCAAATAAAAATGTTGAAAGGAGAGTCTTCTGAGACAAACTGTCATTTAAATCACCCTATTTGTGCAAAACATTTGCAACATGATAAAACTCTTTAACAAGTTTGGATTCCTTCCTGGGAGTTATGTATATTTTAAACTCAGATTGGTTTGGATTTGTTACTCAACAAATACCAACATTATTCTATTGTTTCAATTATATCAGAAGACATTCTCTTTGTAGAGCTGGCTTTGTGGTTTTTATTTTAAAATCCGGGAGTAATTCCAATGCTATTAAATGAGCTCTTGAAAAGATGAAAGAGGGAGAAGGGACATCACAAGGACTGCAAATACATAATAAGTGATTCTGACACAGAATCGTATATATCAAGGTGAAAAATAATGTATTAATTTAAGGTGTCGTTACTTTTCAAAATATTTTTATATATGCTATTTTTGGCATTGCTAAAAAAAAATGTGTACAAAGCTTGAAAAAACATAAGCCTCAACACTAAAATCACATATCAATTTTTGACCAAATATATTAGTATGTATATTGATCAGCCATTCTTTTTGTCAGACCAAGTTCTTGTTGCCGTCTTCAAATTAGAAGGATAGTCCACTACAGAGAATATTTGTACATCTGGAAGACAGAGGCTGGTCTTTCTATTCTTTCTATCAACAATAGCATCTAGAAGACTGTTTACAAACTAGGAGGCAATCTGTGATCCAGAAACATTAGTTGAACTGTATTGAAAGTACCAGCAATTCGAAGTGAAAATTTCAAAAACTGAACTCAAATTGGTACTGCTTGTGAAAGTATATGTGGTTATGTCCAAATTTTAATGCAGGATTTGATATTTTTAGCCTGGGTTGCTCCAGTTGAGTTACACAACTCTCCTCTGTGATGCAGAGTCCTCTGGATGCTTTCCTTTCACAGCCCGCCTCATGCTGCAATCCCATTGCCTATGCACTTGCCTACTTCACAAGTACAGCTACAACCTCCTTGACTGCAGAGCCTCTGTTTTGTTTACATTGAGTTCCCACTACCTCTTCCAGTTATTGCAACAAAGCAGAAACGCGGTATTTGCTAAAAAATTAAATTATGTTTTAAAGACAAATAAAAAAGTTAATACATTTCTGAAGGATGTTGGCCCATCCAGCCAAGTCTTTAAACTTGCGAGCATCAGTAATCCTGTGTAATGGAAATTACTGTTCAAAACAATAAGCCTAAAGTCCTGTAAGATTCTAAAGTATAACAAGGCACATTATATAAAATAACATACTTAACATAAATACCTAGTACAATATCTGTGTCACAGTGGTAGTAGACGATATGAATACAAACACTTTATATGCATTTTTTATATGTATGGAAATAAATCATGTAACTGGGTAGCTCTTTCACCATAATCCTATTTACCCAAAGTGGCCATAATGATGCTAACATAACTAAATGTAAGTAAAAATTATCTAAATTATATTGACTTTAAAGCTATCTACAGAGACACTCCACAACATAAAATATATACTTTATGATTCAGAAAACTCAAGAGACTTACTGATACTCCAACTGCTGTGGGATTGTAGTTGACACAAAAGAAGTAGGTCTTCCTCTGAAACTATTTATAATCTCAGAAGCCTTACCTAAAACCAATAAACAAGGGTAAAATGTTGAATGCTGATTATAAACACCAAAGGCATTCAGAAAAGCAGGATATGAGTATGGTTTACAGAATCCAGAATAGAATCTATGAAGCAAGAGAGTTTGATTTCAGTAAAAAAGAAAGGAGGAGATTCACATATTCTAAAGTAAGTTGAGTGGAGGTTCTTATTGGAGAGAGCAACTGAACTTAGACACTGGCTTGAGAATACATATGTCACATGCTAATGACACAAGTTGTGGCTATTTAAAATTATAAGTGATAATACGTAACTGGAAGGTAGTGGTGGGGAATTTTGTCAAGTTTGAATAGGAGATTGAATCACAGGGTTATTCTAAGATTCTGAAAAGGCAGGCGACCTATGGAAACTAGTGTATCATGACAGTTGTTCTGGAAATGGTCAGCAAAATCTTTGAGGAGAGGATGAAACAACATCAGAGACATTAAATGCTGCTGCAGCCACCTTGAGCTTCAGAACAGAACTTACCAATTCCAGTGGGGGTGGAGGTTGCAGGAGGAAAAAGAAAGAAGTGTGAGATGTGCATCTGACCATTTCTTTTAGTCTTAAAATTGATTTTAACATTGATATTAGAGCAAAACATCAGTATTAGCAGGATAAAGTAGGTGATAAGAGTATGGATCCTGTAGATCATAGATCCTGAAATCAGATTATCCAAGTTTGAGCTTCGGTCCTGCAAAAAACTAGCTCTGCTACTCTGAGTAACTTACACAGCCACTCTAACCTCTGTTTTCCCTTGTATGGAATGAACATAATTGTACTTTCATTATATGTATGTCATAAACATGAAAGATCTTTCATATAACACTTTCGATACAAAAGCTGACACATAGTAAATGATCAATTTTGAAACATTTTTAAAAGAGGGAACTAGCTTTTCTAAATTATTCAAATAAATTATTATTGAATTGTTTCATTAATAATTTAAACATCTTTTTTTACTTTGTTTTATTTACTTTTAAGTAGCTTGATTACTATATAATTGTCATATAATAAACAGCACATATTTAAACTTTATAATTTGGTAATATTTGAAATGTGTTTAAACTTGTAAAACCATTGCCATAATGAAGATATTGAATATATCCACTCCCATGCTTTCCTTCTGCCATTTTGTAATCTAGCCCTCCTTTCCTAGGTTCTTATTGTACCACCCATAGGCAACCATTGATCTCTTCCTCGCCATAGATTAGTTTGCATTTTGTATAATTTTTAAGTAAGTGGAATCATAAATTATGTACACTTATCATTCACTAACTTCTAAACACATAACTTCATGCAATATAATCATAACAGTACTCTACCGTTTTCTACTATTAAACTCTGTGCACTTGTAGTCCAATATTTTATTTCTAGATACATTCTAAGACCCACAATGTCCTTTTTTTGGCTTTACATGCTCACTTATAATTAAAAGAAGATTTAAAAGGATATTTTAACAATCTTTTATAGGTACCCACTTATTTCCATTGTTCTTCATTCCTTTGTATAAATCCGTATTTCCATCTGGTATCATTTTTCTTCTTGCTGAAATAATTGTTTTAAAATTTTTTGTATAATATGCTAAGTGTAATAAACCATCTTAGCTTTTACATGTCTGGAAAAAGTTCAGATACTCTTTTTTTTTTTGGATGAAGTTTTACTCTTGTTGCCCAGGCTGGAGTGCAAGGGCACAATCTCAGCTCACTGCAACCTTCACGTCCTGCGTTCAAGCAATTCTCCTGCCTCAGTTTCCTTAGTAGATGGGATTACAGGTGCCTGCCACCATGCCTAATATATATATATATATACTAAAAATATATATATAATATATATAAACTAAAATATATATTAGTAGAGACAAGGTTTCACCATGTTGGCCAGTCTGCTTTGAACTCTTGACCTTAAGTGATCCACCCGCCTCAGCCTCCTGAAGTGGTAGGACAATAAGCATGAGCCACTGCACCTGGTCAGTCTTTGCTTTTAAATTCTATTTTTATTCACTACAGAATTCTAGCTAAGAGATTTTTGTTTTATGTTTTAAAATGTGCTTTACTGTCATGTAGCATATTTTTAAAAGAAGTTTGTTGTCATTGTTTTTTTTTTTGCTCCTTTCTATATGCTATGTCTTTCTTTTCTATTTATAAATTTTTCTGTGTATCATTCTTTTAAGCAGTTTGGTTAGGACATGCTTTAACAGAACTTGATTCATTTTTCTTGTACTTGGGATTTGTCAAACTTGTTGGCTCTGAGCATGTATAGTTTCTATTAAATTTGGAAAGCTTTTAGCCTTATTTCTTCAAATATTTTTTCTGCCTCCTCTTCAGAGACTTAATTACATGTATATTTGGCTACTTGGAGTTGTCCCACAGCTCACTGATGTTCTGTTTATTATCATCATTATTTATTCTTACTATTAGTAGTATTAATATTTATGTTTCACTTGGTATAGTTTCTACTGATACACCTTCAAGTTTACTAATTGTTTTTTTTTCCTGCAGTGTTAGTCTGTTAAACCCATACAATGCATTATCTTCATATTAAATTTAAGGTTTTTTAATCACTATAAATTTATTATGGATCTGTATTATATTTTGCACCTGTCTCTCTAACTGGCTCATACTTTTCTCTACCTTCTGCAACATATCTAATACAGCTATAGTAACTCATTTAATGTATTTGTGTATGAATGTTATTCTCTATCTCATATGAGTCTGTTACTATTGATTTGATTCTCTTTTTCATCAGAAGTTGTATTTTTCTGCTTCTATACATGCCTCATAATTTTTTCTTGTTTTCCAGCTATTGTGAATTGTATTTTGTTAGAAGCTGGATGTGTTTGAATTCTTATTAACAATCTTAAGGTTTATTCTGAGATTTAGTTAAGTTATATAGAAACCATCGTGTCTTTTAGAGTCTTTCTTTTAAACCTCATTAGGGCAATAGCAACTTCTCATCTATGACAATTTTTGACCTGCTATAGAAGGAATATCACTTCTTTGGATAATTTTAATGTATTTTTACATGAATTTGCCTCCCAATACTTAATTATACATTTTCAAACATATAGAAAAATTAAAAACATGCTTGCAGTGAATAACTACATATCTATCAGCTGTCATTAGTATTTACTGTACTTGATTTACAACATATACGTACATTTCTTCATGCCTCTACACACCTATCAATTCATCTAATGTCTTCTTTATCTAATATTAATCTAGCCATTCCTACTTTCTTTTGATTAACTTTTGTATAATACAGTCGACCTGCTGTATCCATGGGCTCCACATCCATGGATTCAATCAACTCCAGATTGAAAATATTCAAAAAATAAAATTGTCTCTATGCTTAATAACTGCATCTTCTTATTTTTGTCATTATTCTTTAAATAATGCAGTATAACAACTATTCACATAGCATTTACATTGTATTCGATATTAGGTAACTAATCTAGAGATTATTTAAAGTATACAGGAGGATGTGCATAGGTTGGTTATATGTAAATCCTATGTCATTTTATATCGGAACTTGAACACCCAAGGACTTTACTATTAGCAGGACGTCTTATAAAGAGTCCTCACAAATACCAATGAACAACTGTATTTTTTTCTTCTTTTTATTATCAACTTATGTATTGAGTTATATTTAAAGTGAGTTTCTGTAAGCAGCATACTGTTGAGTCATTTTAAAAACTCACCTCTGTTAATCGCTGTCACTTATTTACCTTTTATATTAAAGACAATTTTTGATATATCTAAAGTCTGCTATTTTATTTTGTGGTTTTGATTTGTTCTCTGTTGTTTTGTTTTTTGTTTGTTTGTTTTCTCTTTCCCATATTCCTATGAGTTAGTTGAATATTATTTGGATTTCCACTCTGTTCCATATGTAATATTTTGACTGCATCATTTTGTATAGCCTTTTAGTGGTTTTATGGGTATTTTATTATATATACATTATTTATCTCAGTTTACTGGAATCAAAATGTTACCAGTTCAATTGAAATTGAGACATTGTTAATGTTCCTTAACCTTCCCTTGTTTATCATTCATCGTCTTAAATATTTCTTCTACATATATTGAGAACCACACAAAAGAGCATTATATTTCTTTGCTTCAACTATAGCCCAAATTTAGAAAATTCAAGAGAAAAAATATGGAGAAATATGTTGTATCTCACCATATTTTTGCTCATTCTGTTCTTTTGTAGTTTCAGATATTTCAATATTTTTTCTGTATCATATCCTTTAGGTTTAGAAAATTTCCTTTGCCATTATTTTAGGATAGATCTGAAGGTGACAAATTTTGTCAGTTCTTCGCTTGAATTATTTAGTGCTAATTCATTTGGTTTTTCTCTTCATTCCTGAAGAATATTTTCTCCGGGTAATTTTGATTTAATAATTACTGTCTTTCAACACTTGAAAAATATGGTGCCTCCATGGTCTATCCTAACAAATCAGTTGTCATGTGAATAGTTTTCCCCTGCACTTAGTCAGGTTGTCATTTTTCATTTCTCAATCGTGGCTTTCTTTATTACTAGTTTTTGGAAGTTTTTGGTTTTTTTTTTAGTTTATTCTGTTTGGGGTTAACTCAGCTTCTTGAGTCTGTGGGTTTAAGTCTTTTGACAAATTTTTTTAAAATTCTGTCATTTTAAGAAATACCTTTTACATGTCATAAAACTTTCTACTCTCTTTCCGGAATTCCAGTGAAACAAATGCTAGATTCCTCTGTTATGATCCCATAGTTCCTTGATGGATATTTTTTCCTCCTGTTACTTTTCTTTTTGTTGATCAGACTAGGTGATATCTATTGTTCTATCTTCAACTAATTATTTTCTCTGTTGCCTCCATTCTGATAATGAGCACTTCCATGGAGGTTTTTCTTTTCTGTTATTGCATTTTTATTACTAAAATTTCTGTTTTTCTGAAAATTTATACTTCTTTCTAAGACTAAATATTTTCACTTGTTTCAAGGGTGTTCAAAATT